CCTTATAATAGTGGAGAAAACTCTTCCTGATTCATTTTTGTACCTAAATTTAAGATCTAAATATCTCACTCTAGGCAAGTCAACAGGCGCTAATATTTTAACCTTGTTAGTTTGGCGGTGAGAGTTTTCATTTGACCCGAATAGGTGCCATCTTTTCGCTTATCAACACACATACCTCCATTGTAAGTAAAAACCGAAAGAAGAACAGCCTTTTTATCGACTGGATAGTCTATTTGTAATTTACAGTTGTGCAACATTACATTAGAATGTGAACTGTCAATGCATACTCTTGTTCAGCAGCAATACAAAAGATATCGATATCGAACAATTATAGAAACATAAGAATATCTTTGATAAATACATAGTTGTATAAATAAACTAACAGAATAATGTTAATATGTTCACAATGATCAATGTCGAATACATACGTAATTCATATAATCATATGAAAGAATTCATATATCTTAAGATAAAGAAGAATTTGATGAAACTTAAAACCTAAACCAAAATCATTCAGTCGGTATTTTTTTTTAACTAAAAGAATATATTTTTAATGAAAACTCATCTACAAATGATGATGATGACGAACCATATGACAGAGTAACTGAAAAGATGGAGAGGAAAATGAATTAGTAAAAAAGGTGAACATATATTATCGTGATGAAAAAAAGCATTCATGTATGTATCCATAATAGTGACATTTGGCATCAACATTGATTTCTATTTCAACGTTATCAGTAACAAGCAAATTTATACTTAGCGAAATTAATCGAATATTAGAAGCAGAAAGACACCAAATGAATTTTGAATAACTTGTTTTTTTTGTGAAATTTGAGATAATCTCTTTTTTTTCGTTAGTGTTTATGGAAGAAACTAAACAACAATATTAATGATAGATCGTTTCGATCCTAGAGCGGAGGCTCAAAGCCTTCTGGAAGGCTCAGTCAATAAACATACGTCTAAATACTATCGAATAGCTTCTGGTGGGAAAGGTTCAAAGGCTTCTGAAAGAAAAAAACATAAGTAAAATAGATTGATTTATAGATCATAAAATAAAACTCAAGAAACATAAAACTCACCGGATATGATTCAATGTTATCTGATCATAATAAAGCTTAAAATATTTTATTACTCGAACTTTACAAGAACTTATTCATTTTAAATGTATTCAATAAAAAATATCAAGAATTCTGATATTTATCTTTACGTCCGAATAGACTGGAAATAGTTCAATGGCCAATTAAAAAATTATCTGATTAAACATGTCTAATTCAATCGATTTTCTTTATACTTATTATTTATCGTTAGAAACTAATAACCAATAAAATTACTTAGATCTCGAATAATTTTATCCGATTTGAATATTAAGTATTCTTTCATTTATATACATTTTCAATTAATACTCCAGCACTAAAACAATCAATAAATATTTAAATACATGTAAAATTTGCATTCTACATCGGCGATGTTATATACATTTAGTAAATAGTAAATAAAACAAAAAACTTATAACTTAACATAACGTACGATTATTCAAAGGAAAAAATGTATAAATAAGGTAAGTCAGAAACATGACATATACATTAAAAAGAAACCAATAAATTCCTTCAAGGAGAAAAAAAAATCATGTTCTCTTAAATACACTATAGTCATGTTTTTTTTTCTTTCGTCTAGATGCAAATTTCAAGTGTTTCTCTAAGTTATTATAGCTTACCGCGATATGTCAGAAATTCATATATTTTTTCTCACAATGTTCAATTGAATAATTTCAAGTTTGATGCATCTTTTTTGACATGAAAAGGATGTTTTAATGCAAAAAAAAAATAATAAACGAAACAAAAAAAAACCTGATATGAAAAACATTCTTTGATTTTTAAATTAAAAAAAATTATTATTTACATTATTTCGAAATCTATTGTTTGTTTTTTCATTCTTCATGACCTGCATGATTGTCTTAGCATCACTGGTAAATAAATGACTAATTTAAACTAAAGAAAAAAAATTTGTTTGTTATATCACACTTTTGAATCTCGTAAATAATTATCATCACGTTTGCCACCAGTACGTATTCTATCATGATGGTAACCATCTCGATGTCTTGAACGATGTTGAGGTGAACGTCCATCTCTTTTTTCATCATGATTTTGTCTTGAAATTCTTGTTGATTGTTTTTGTATATTAAATGCTTCTGCAAGAGCAAGAGCAAATCTACGTGCATGTTCTTTTGATTGAAATAAAAATGTATAACATTCAGTTAATGTTTCAATCGTATTCTTATTATTAGTAGATGATGTTTTCGATTGACGTAATACAATACAAGATGC